TTTAGGTGGAGAGAAAAATCTTATGGTGGATTAGAATGAGTATTAAAAGATGGGATAGGATTGGGTTGGATAGAGAGCAAGGCCTAAAAGTGGATTAGAATGAGTATTTGAGGAAGTGATGAGATTGAGTGGGGTGAAAGATAAAGGAGATAACTTAAAGGTAGTGAAAATGAGTATAGAAAGACTGAATAATGACTAGCTTACTCAAATATGGTGAGGAAAGTATGCAAATAATTGAGTCAATAAATCATGCATAATGCTCTGCATTCATAGAACAGGATATGACAGGTAGAAAAGAATGGAATAGTTTCACAATAAAAAGCCAGATATAGAGATTCAATAATGAATAACTCACCTGAGGCTTCAATCCACTTGTCATGAAATATCTTTGTCAGCAATGGTTCTGGTAAATTTCTAAAGAATCTTTTCAGTGCATTAGCTACAACATGAACTGGGATGTGATCAAGCCTGACAGCTCTTGCATCACAGCTGAAGTCATCTAAAAGGTCCTTCACAAGATGCTCTGTGGCAGCCTGTCTGTATATTCCAACCTCAGCCATTCCTGCAATGAATCACAATATAGATCTTTCATATTATCTAAAAGAAGGTCAGTTCAGGTAACCTGCACTTTTATTCACAATAATTCAGCACACTGCGTAAAAGATTAATTTAAACCTGTTAACCATTTTTATAATACTCAACAGCAACAAAGGCAAAACCTCTGCATTGAGAAGTTCTGTAATGCAGTCAGACAGTTCTCAATATAGTACAATGGTTCCAAATTATGAAACAAAAAAAGATAAATTTTCTGTCGCAGGTCATTCAAAACATCTAATAAACATTTATTACTGCCGAAATTTGCCTATTACCGGCATACATTTGAAATACGGTGCTAATTGATAGCACTGTTTGTAATCATAGTCTGCCAGTCGGCATGCTTTTTTCATTGCCGATTTTACAGCTGTTTAAAACTTCGCATATTTATGAATAAAAACAAACAGACTCATGCACAAAGAAAAAAAATGTACATCAAAAACAATACATGTACATGTGTACTATGATTTTGGGAGCCATGGTGATACCCGCGACTTAGCCGTACAGCAAGTTATTGAGGCGCAAGTTAGCGAGGGGCCACTGTATTAACCTATTTTGTTTGTTATTAGTATTTATTACCCAAATGCCTTGGTGTTAAATGTTATCTTGTTTTTATGAATGAAGCAAATTTTTATCAAAAAAATCAAATTTTGTTAACTGTTTCTGGGAAATCAGACTTGACTAAATCTAAGCTATTTTTGTATTTCCTTTTCACCCAACATACCGTATTTTAAACTTTATTTCTC